AGTCACTGACGAGCAATGTGTTGTGCAGCTTCGTGTTTGTTTAGAGTGATGCCGGACTGGACCACGTCCATCTTGGGAGTCTCTGGTCAGGGAGAGGGGGACAGAGCTCCAAGCTCCTCCTAGCAAAACAGGGAAGAGGAGATCTGTGCCCAGCACCCCGCCTCCCCCCCAGCACCTCCTGCATTGCTTCTCCTGCAGCCCGACAGCTGCCGCACGCTGTCCTCTCCCACAGGAATGACCCCAAGACCTGGGGCACCTTTGCCTTTCAGCTGGCAGTCAGCAGCAGCCCCACAAGCTTTCCCCGCACAGGCTGGGATTCACGCGCGGGGTAAACCCCTTTGCAGGATGGGGAAGGGCGCGCAAGGCGGGCTTGTGCCCAGTCTAAAGCCCAGGCTCCGTGTTTCAGAGTCCCGCCGTCGGACCATCTACGAATACCATCGCGTGGAGCTGGACACCAGCAAGATCACCAACATGTCAGCCGTGGAGTTCACCCCGCTGCCCAGTAAGTCGGACAGGCTGACGTGGTGCCCCGGAGCGTGGTTCTCCCTCCCGTGGTTTCACCCAACAGCTACAACAGCCTCCTGTTTACAGACAAAGGGGAAGCCAAGGCTGGAGGAGGCAGGTTCAGTGTGTGCTGGAAGGGTGTGTGGCTGCCATCCATCACCCGACGGCTGGGATCCTGCTGGTGCCGTGGATCCGGAGCCACGGAGGGAGGGTGTGCCATCGGCCAGGGTACAGCTCGCCCCTGCTCCGGGGTCCCCCAGTCATTCTGCCTTTGTGAGAAGGTCTGCGCATGGCTGTCGCTGAGCGTCTCGTACGTACAGCCCTGGCTGGGTTTATCAGCGCAGAGTCAACCTCAGCCAGCAGCAAATCCCACACGCGTGCCAGCCTGGCTGCTCCGCAGCCGAGACGGAAGCCTGGGATGCGGCAAAGCTCAGCTGGCAGGGGAGAAGCTGGTAAAGGAGGGATCTGCAGGCGAGGACACCTTACCTGGTTTGCTCAGCCCTCCCCAACTAAGTGACGAGAGCGGTGGTGCCAGCCGCGATGTCCTGGGAGCGATGTGCTGCGGTCCCGAGCTGCGCTCCGTGCTGCTCTGCCAGCGCCTTCCTTGTGCGCAGCTGAGTCGATGGCTCTTGTTGCTCCCCAGTAGATCCCCCCTCACCCCGGTACGTTGATTCCATATTTCCTGCACTGACAGCTCTTCCCACCTGTCCAGCCACTGAAACTCCTTCTCTTTGCTCCATAAGCTGCAGCTAATTTTGCTGGACGCTGGTTCACTTCAGGTCTGTCTATAAGACATTTTTCTACGCCTCCACACTCAGATGAAATTTCTTAAGGATCCTGTTAAATAGATACATTTTTAGTGTTCAGATCCAAGGACACATGTGCACGAGGGAAAGTTGTCATGCAGTCCATAAATACAGAGCAGAGAGTAAATCTGTCACAAAGATACCAAGGTTATGCATTTAAACGGTCTCCCCAGGGTATTTTATGACAATTTTAACAGCAGGCAGGGTTATTGCAAAGCAGATCATAAATAAGCATTCTGCAATATTTTTTTTTCTTTCTCCTTAAGACTTGCTATTTTGTTTTTCCCCAGCAGCTAGGGTAGCTGAGAGCAGTATCTTCAGAGGAGCCACAGAGCTAGAGAGAGCTAGACTACACTTCTTCTTCTGGGGGGTTAATTTTTAGCCTTATTCAGGTCAGAATTGGATGAACTGGGTTAGCCTCTGCCTCTTCTCCAGAGCTCCTCGCTCTCCCGCTGCCTCCACATGGCAGCTCCTCGGGAAAAGCTCCGGACGGGAGAGCGGAGGAGGTGAGGACTGGAGGACACCAGAAGAGCGTAGGCAGCCCAGGCCTGGGGCAGCAGCAGTGGTGGGTTTGCTCAAGTGCGAGGGGCAGAACAGGGAGCCCACGGATGGAGAAGCAATGGAGTGGCTGGGTCAGGATGGAGGTGTGGTGGCGTGCCGGGTGGGCTGGGGATGCTGCTGCCTTTCAGATCCTGTGCACTGATGCAGGATGTGAACCTCTCGTGTTCTGCCTTCATCACTTGGTGTTTCACAGCACCGCATCAGCTCGCGGGCTCTGTCATTGTGGGCTGTCAGGGACTCCCGAGGGGCTTGTTAAAACTGCTGGTTTCCTGGACTTCTTTTGCAGACATCGCTTGGCCATCTTTTCTAGACAGGGTGACAAGCAAACGGTGGTACTCTACAAGCAGCGAGTCCTCTCCAGTGTAGAGATACTCGCAGAACTGCTTAGTATGGACATAGCAACAGAGGGTTAAACTGTTCGTGTTGCTCCCTTCTTTCTGAGAAACACCCTCTGTACAATAAGAAATGGCGTAAGTCTCAGATGCGTTTTAATTCCCAGCTAAACAGAATGGGGAGACGTTTACAGATGGACTGGGAGTCCACGCCTGCTAGAGAGGCGCTGCCTGGTCCTGCAGGTCCATTGCAGAGAGAGGGTGGGCGAGCGACTCAGCTGTGGATGCTGGTTCCACCCGTGCCACCAGCTTTCGGCCCGTGCCCCCTCGTGCCCGCGCAGATGCTGGCGCATCGCTGGTACGTCTCTCCTCTCTCTTTTGCAGCTTGTCTCCAGCATCAGAGCTGTGAAATGTGTGTGACCTCGGAGCTGACCTTCAACTGCAGCTGGTGTCACGTCCTGCAGAGGTAGCTGGGATGAGTTCCCTTCCCACCTCTTCTCTTGCTAATGTTTCTATAGCTGGGAGAGCAAGTGCAACTCCAGGTCCGATGCCTGTATCAGGTTTTATTGTTATTTTCCTGGTTTTGTTGGGGTTGGTTTTTTTTTTTTTTTTTTGGTTCCTTTTTGGTTTACCTACATGCATAGTCTCATAGCCAAGGTTAAGAGGTGATCTGATCTCCAGTTACAAGCCATTGAAAGGAGACATTTCCCGAGGCAGGGGTTCTTGGTCCTAAAGTTTTGCTGCAGCAGCTGGAACAAGTTGAAACCAGAAGCAAGACTCAGATTTTTGTCAGCGAGATTAAACGCGGGGGAAACTTGTCCTGACTTCGGCTGTGATTTCAGACAGAAGTGCAGGGTGGGGAGGCTGGGACACGCTCAGGTCTGAAGGACAGCAGGGAGGTCACAGAGCCGGGGATGCTGGACAGCTGCAGGGGACCAGGTCCTCTTTGTCGGGGATGAGACACAACGAGGGTGGGGAGCACTTGCTGCTTTTCTAGGGGCAAAGAGAGGATCTGGGGGGCCGGGGCTGGCCCCGCTGCTGTCCCAGCCATGCAGCCATCCTGCTCCGTGCTCTCCTTCAGCTCAAGCAGCGCGATACGGAGCACGAGAGAGTTTAATGAGATTTCGCTGAAATATTTATTTAGAGCTAGCGGCAGGGGAGAGGACCCAATAACACAGATCCTCGCACGCGGCACGGGGACAGCCGCGCTTGGGAAATGGCCGGCTCTGCCAGGAAGGCACGCAGGCTGGCCCCCTTCCCCAGCCGCCTCCTGCAAGGGCAGCCTTGCCTCGCCCCGGCATCGCTCGCAGGGCACCTTTACTCCTCCTTTCTGTAGCCCTTCCCTCGCTACGCTCAAGACTTGCGCCCTTCCCTTACACGCAGCCATTTCAGCAAAGTTATGAGCAGGGCAGCTGGGACAGGGAAAGATCCTGTGACATCAGCAAAGTGACCCTATAAATCAGCGTTGATTCACTGCCTTTCAGTGGGCTGGCACACAACCCGAGCCAGGGGAACATCATTTTTCAATGACAGTTGCTCAGTGGTGGCTTCAGATCAGAGAATATTACGCTCTCGCAGCTGAGAGAGATGCGTGAAACCAGATGTGGCTTTGGTAGCAAAAGCAAGCCCAGGATACAGTGGCTTAGTCTGGATCGTGTTTGGGTTGAAACCCCAGGGTTCAAGGACTTCGTCATTCTGCTTATTCCAAACTCATGGTGTTTGCAAACCCCGTCTTCCAAAATCCAAGTCGCTGTTGCTGACGTTTGCTCTTATCGCTTGTAGTACGGTGACTTCTTGATGTGTTGGCTAAAAGCTGTGCTCCCTGCAGCCGTAACTCCATACCGGCAGCTCGGTCCCGAAGAGCTTAGGTTACAAACGGAAAGTACAAATGGCGAGCGTGGCGGAAAGTACAGGCTAGAGCAAGCCTACCGCTATCTTGTTGGCTTTCAACCAGGTTGGTTTTGCAAAGCCAACATGATCTTTCCCAAGGAAGTTGGTAGGGTGGCTTCCAGGGTTTGAGCTTGTATCCTGAGTCCAGCTCAGTGATTTAACCCCAGAGTCCTCTCACTTGTCTTCTGGACAGTGGAGTTTGTATTTTTGCTTTTGCTGAGCCTGTAATCATTACAGGAACTGTACTTTAAGCAAAGATCTCAGTGACTCAGCAGGACCTGAAGTTCTTCTTGGCTCTTCCTCTTTCACTGGCTGGTAGTTAGGTAATTAGTGCTTGTATGAGCTGAACCCCTGATTCATATTTTGGTAGTCTCCAGAGACTTTCCAAAGGTCAGAGTGCTATTTTATTCCCTCTGTTTCTGTAGAGATCTCTCTAGCTGGTGTTTTCCTGATGCCGTTTGTAATTTCTTTAATGTGTTTTTCCTGTGCAGATGTTGCTGGAAAAAAAAACCCTCATGGAGATCACAGCCTTGCCCTGGCACAGAGTCCAGGGAATGGAAACTCAAACTCAGCCTATATATTTTTCCTATTTCTCTGCTTCTCCGTTACCCTTGGAGAAGCGGTGTTGACCCTTTTCCTCCTCTGTGAAGAGGAACATTTGGGTCCTTCCAGCACAGCTGTACTGGAAACTCCATGTCTTTGGAGACCAACTTGTAGATAATCTTTCCAGTCCTCAGATATTTATTTGTCCAAATATCTGTACACAGCGCCCATCGGGGCAGCATTTGGGACTCTTCGGCAGCTTAGAAATCATTAACAATGCCACCCACACAGAGTGGGCAAATGAGCATTATTGTTGCTGTGTCTTCCAGGAATTCATCTGCCATAGGTTAATACTGCTTTTCTCCGCAGATGTTCCAGCGGCTTTGACCGATACCGTGAGGAGTGGCTGTCCTACGGCTGTGGTCAGAAGGTGAGACTGAGAGAAGAATTGGCTCTTTTAGGTCCTCTGCTAGGAATGATGCTGAACTACAGGAAAAACCATGGCCGTATCCCAGCTCAAAAAATTCACTCCCAGCTCCACTTGGCCCGTGCTGTTCTGGAGCAGGCTGAATAGCCCTTTAGTTATCCCTTTCCCATGACAGCAAGACCACTGATCTACTTAAGAGAGGCTGTCTCTGTTGGAATAGTTAAAAGATGGTCCATCTAATCCAGCGCTACCTGGTTTTGCCTTGCTGGTGGCTTGTTTCTGTGCTGGTCGATGTGGATGTTCAGTAAAGATGCAGAGACCTCCATAAGTTACCAAATGGTGCAATCTGAGTACAGTGGGATATTTTTTCCTTCACTTGCTGAAGCATGACTCTTACTCACTCTCAAGCATGAAGAAAATAGCCCTTGTGATTTTTTTTTTTTGTCCTTGTTAGCACAATTATCTCCACATTGGATAAACTAGTTTCTTTGTCTCAGAAAGATCAGCTCTAACAAAACATCTGTTTCTGCTTTGGGTTTTTTTTGTTGGGTTTTTTCTTCCCCCCACTGAAAACTCAGCTTTGTTCCCTGTTAACCAAGAGGGTTGAGTGAGGGAAAAGGAGGTCATAGGACCTCTCTAAGGTCATCCAGTGATGCAAGAAGGTCAGACTGTAGGACCTTGCCAGATCATCATAATTTGTCCCACTTAAGTGGTTCCCAAACTTCTCCTACTCTTCTCCAGCCTCCAGGTCACCCCTGCCCATACTTCTCCTGGCACTTCTGGACCATGACCCCTGCTTCCACTCCAGTGTTTGAATCCCAAGGGCTCGGCAGCCCTAAGCCTGGGAAGCAGAGTCCTCACCCCTGGTTCCCTGGCACCCTTGCTGGCAGAGAGCTAGGAAAAGTAGCTGTTCTTCATTTTCTTTCCAGTCAGATGAGAAGACCTGCAAGGATTTAGCAGAAGGCGACCGCTATTCAGCACCTCCTGACAGCTCTTTCTCACCGCTGGATGAAGATGTCACCACCTCCACGTCCTCGCTCTTCATCGACAGCCTCACTACGGAAGGTAGGGGCAGGTGGGGCGAGCAACTGTGGCAGGGACTCCCCATCCTCGACGCTTATCCCTGGAGAGGGCTCTCGCTCCGATGCCTCACAGAGCCAATTCATATCCCAATAAATACAATAACAAACCCACCTTTGACGCACAAGGGCAGGGTGAGCGCAGGAGGCAGTGGGAAGGAGAAGGAAGGGCAGCCTAAGAGGTGAGACTCGGAGTGATGTGGTAAGGGGAGAGATGAAAGCCTCTGGTGGGAAGAGTTTTACAGTCGCATCGCAGCCCTTTTAAGCATTTGTGAAGGTCAACAAGCAAGTAGTCCCTGGTGGACAGACTCCCTGGCATCATAACAGAGATTAATGCTGTATATAGGGGCTCACGCTTTTAACGTGCTTGGTTCTAGCTGGTGGCTCAGGGCTGCTGGTACTCTCAGACTGGCAATAATACAGCAGAGGCTTGTGATTGCCCTCTGCTCGGGAATGGTGTTCGTTCCAGCATAGGAAATCTCCAGATAAGGACCTGAGTTTCCCTCGAGACACCCATGTTCTAAAGCTTGATAATCCTATTAACACAGGGCTGGCTCCTCAGATCCTAGCGGCAGGTATCACTTCAATTTTGCTGCTTAATAGTCCCTAACGCAAACTGCTAATTAGAATAAATAGAAAGGAACATTAGTAATTGTCCTTCAGCAACGGGAAGGAGTTGGGGGGAGGAACGGAGCGCCTGGCTGACAGAGTTGACTTTGAAAGGAGCAATTAAAGGAAGGGGGAGTGTAACACCACCACTGAGATTATTTTCCAACTCATCGCCAATTCTTGGAAAAAGAACAAGAGGCTTTCTGTGACATAGTCAAGCATGAAGTTAATTTGTAATCTTGGAAGGAAACAAACAGCCAGCTGCATCAGGCAGTGAACTTTATCTGGAGAAGCACAGCAAAGGAACAAGCAAAGCAAAGGACTGGAGCCACCCCTCTGCATCCTCCCCAGCCAGCCCAGCTCGCTGGCTCTGCTCATGGAGATGTTTGTGAACTGACTCGCTGGTCGTGTGTCAGCGCTGCAGCTAGCAAACGTGTAAGCCAAGCAGTGAGAATTCTAGATCAGGATTTCAGCTGGACTCGTCAGGGTGGTGATGTGGAGCCCATCAAGACATAAAGCCTTGTACAATAAATATATCCTGGTTCTTCCAGAATGAGATGAAGAATGGAATCGGATTTTGGGTCCCCACGGAAGACATCTACAGCGTAACATCCCATTGATTTATTCGGGATGTATTAGCAGCGTGTTGCTGCAAATGCCATAGTCTGAACACAGACACCCGTAAGGGCTGGGGCCCCATCCAGCATTCAGTTATTGTTCTGCTTTGCACATATTTAAAGCCTGGTTTGCTCAGATGTTTGTGCTCCAGGTGCCACCTTTGTGAAGGAAGACAACAAACCATAAGCCGCGTGCTTTCGCTATTGTTGTTTTCTGGGGGCCTTCCTCTTCCACCAAACTCAGAGGTTTAACGCTGTCACTGGCCATGGAAATGCTGTGCAAGAGGTGTGTTCTGTCAGCGTCCCCGTTACAGGGATGAAAGCGGGTGGGAAGCATGCAGAATAGCATGGAAGGCTCCTCCTAACTTTATGGTTTTGCCTTTGTTTTCTTCTTTTAGATGATACGAAGCTCAATCAGTATGCAGGAAGCGAAGGTAAGCCCTTAATCTTCTCTCTGCCTGCTCACAGTCGTGCCAAGTGAAAACATGTTACACTGAAATCAAATGCACCGGGGAGTTGCGATCAGTCAGCGGAGTGGACGGGTGAAACTGAGATTGGAGGGATGTAATCAAGATAAGACGCCTGTTGTCCTTACCCTGATTAATACCATTTCAGGTAGTGGAAAGTGAGAGTCGGGACCAATCTGTTTTACCCTGATGCTGTTTGTCTACTTTTCCCACTTAGTCCTGCTGTGCAAACTAAGATGATGAGTCTTCTCTTTCTGTGTAATTCCGTTTCTTTGCAGTTTTTGCGTAGACACAAAGTCCTTTTTTTTTCTTTTCAATTTCCACAGCTGTGCCAAGGAGCAGTGTAAAATCCAAATTTAAAAAGTGTCCTTAGCCCAGCTCTGCCTTTTTCCTCTCTGTTCCTGTGAATCCTTTCTCAGTCCAAGTTTGTTCAGCAGCCCCAAGGGCAGGGAACCAAACTCTTGCTGTAATGCTTTTATTAATTTCAGAGTATGGGAAGGATCCGAGCCCTCTTCGCCTGATGTCAGATTTGCAAGAACTGCGGTCGTATGCAAACCGCAAGCCCATCCCTCTTACCTGAAAGCAGCTCAGGGAAGTTAAACTGGCTAAACTGGATGCAGGAGCAGTTCCTTTGCAGGCGTAGGGCCTTTGAAATGCACGTTCTTCCCAGTTTTAGCCAAATTGCTCCCCAACTGGCTGGTAACGTCACTGTTAATATATGCCACATCCACCCTCTGTAGCTCTGTGCAATTGCATATTCATAGCGGAGGACTGAGGGCAAGCTGGAGGGCTGTGGGTAAGACACACTGAGGACCCCGCTCAGCATATGGCTAATGGCTTTCTATCAGAGCGAGCAGCCAATATATAAAGAATATGGATTGGAGGGGGGGGTTACTGCATGGTGGTGGTTTAATCTTCTTTCAAACCAGCTACTGCTATCATCCGAAAGGGATGCTGGAGCTCCGACAGCTCCCCGGTGCATCTTCCCCTCTTGTTGAGGCTGACGGTAGCGGGCTAAGTTGCTCGGTCGTACGTGCAGAGCTCTGAAAGGGCTTGCCTTGCTCTTCTTCTCTGTCCTTTCTTTTACCGCCGTCTCAGCACAGTGCAAGACTCAACTGAATCCCTGTTTGCAGGTGTGGGAAGCAGCCTTCCTTCCAAGAAAGCGGGCGCCCCGATTCACACAGGTACTATCGTGGGGATCGTTCTGGCTGTGCTGCTCATTGCAGCCATCATCCTTGCTGGAATTTACATCAACAGCCACCCCACCTCCAACGCTGCCCTGTTCTTCATTGAGGTGAGTGGAGAAACTTATCCCTGGCCGGTTTGCTCTTCCTCTGCTATCAACACAAATCCCAGCCTTCTAGAGGAGAGCAGGGAACAAAGCGAAGAGGAGCGAGGAACGTTGATAGAGTTCACATCTGAGTTTCTTTTCATGGTCCTGCAGTCACAGCTAATCTCCCAACCTCCAGTGGGTGATGTTTTAAACTTAGGCTCTCTCCCTCCCACACTGTTTTATTTTGCTCCCTTTCACACGCTCCCTTTCACACATTGCCTTTTTTTTTTCCCCCATGCAACGTTAGACTCTTCCACCTGCTTGCATGAGCAGTCAACATGCAGCCTGGTTGGAGGGCTCAGTTGGAGCTATGACATAATTGAGATCACTGCCTTTTGAATTGCCCAGCTGGATTTTGTTGACTAAAATTGTCAGACTTTACTGATAGATGCTGAGATCACTGCCTTTTGAATTGCCCAGCTGGATTTTGTTGGATTTTGTTGACTAAAATTGTCAGACTTTACTGATAGATGTCATGCCATCAGCTACTGTGTAAGTGGTGGTGTGAATGCTCTAAATGGAAGATTTTAATTCTCGGAAAGATAGGGGGTCCGACAATCTCCATCTGCTGTTAAAAGCCAGAAGACCGCTTGGTGTAGGATCCCGAGGCAGTCAGAAGTGGGCTGAATCCTGGCACAGGAGCTGCTGCGGAGGGAGTGAGCAACACTTAGCCCTCAGCCTTTACTTATCACTCGCTGGCTTTTTCCTAGAGCACTTGTCTTTCCTCCATCTGTCCTGTTTGCAGAGCCAGGCTTCAGAGAATTGATCTACATGGCCTCTACCAGTTTAGTACCCGAGCACTTGGCAATGCTTGATGCATTTGTCTTCACCCGGCTGAGGAGGGGCAACGCACTTGTCCCCCTTTTGCAGGTAGAGAGGAGACGCAGAGCGGACGTGTATGTGGTTGCACGGGAAGCCTGTGGCCATCCTTGGCTGCACAGGCCACCCTTGTTCTGAGGATGATGTGGGATTTTACTTAAAATTTCCATTTCCTCCCCTCTCCCCATTTGAACCTTATTAGTGGGTCAGCTCAGTAAGATCGATGCATTGTAATGAACTCTTTTAAGAATGAGGCGATTTTTTTTTTAAATTTATTTTTATTAATAAAAAGTCAAACTTTCACAAAGACAGGATTGTTTTTGTTTCAGGCCCGAGTTTCCAATTTCCCTGCAGGCTTAGCGTGAAAGGCTCTGTCATAGCTTCTGATGGGTCTTTGTTTCTGTCCACAGCGAAGACCACATCACTGGCCTGCCATGAAATTCCGAAATCACACCAACCGTGCAACATACTCGGAGGTGGAGCCAGCCAGCCAGGAGAAGGAAGGCTTTGTCGAAGCAGAACAGTGCTGAGCGCTTCTCTCCCTGCGTCTCGAACCTCCCATGTCTCAAGTGTTGGAGTCTTCTGTTATTCTATTGCAAAGTCTTTCCCCTCTTGGAAAAGAAACAGCAAGTAGAGGAAAAAGACCCAATGGAGCATTTGAAAAGAATGAGTCAGGGCGCTGTGAGGCTGGGACTCGCCTGGATTCCTCACGGGACAGCAGAGCCTGCAGCGGTGGCGGTCAGTTGCGACATTGGACTCTGCCTGCAGCTCGGCACCAAAGCCCTGAATGTGGCGGCAGAAAAAAAGTGCAGTCAAAGTTTTGGTTTGGCGTGGGTTTTTTGTTTTGTGGTTGGCTTTTCCCCCCCGCTGTGTGTGGCTGACCTCTTCCCTCCTCCACCAGGAGTCTCAACAGGGGCAGCAAAAGGGGGGGGGCAAACCTCAGTACAGGCAAAATTGTTGCCTCAAGCAGCAGGCTCTTGGGGACAGCAAAACAGTTGATTTTTGCTGCACGCTGGCTCTGCCTGCACTCAGGAAAGTCAGGCTGGTTGCCTCTTGCCCTCTCCAGGGAGAGGCCGGGCGGCTGGGGGTAGGTGCTGTTGGTGGCCCAGGAGAGGTAAGGTTGGCTCTCCAGGGCTCAGCTCCCCTCTCCCTTCCCCCAGCTCTGTCCCTTTCTCCGCTCTCCCCTTCACCTTCTTTTGGGGCGGGCAACATTTAATTTTGTCTTCACGGCCAAGAAGCCTTGTGCCCTTGTCTTTTCATCCTGCAGTTGGTCTTCCACCACCGTGGCTTCAACTCCCTGCCGTCCTCTCCCTTCAAAGCAACAGCTTCCACCCCTGCTCCAGAGAAAGGGAAACCTGATCTATTTTAAGGGCAAAACCCTGTGGAGGATTCACCTTCAGGATGTTTGTGAGCCAATGGCTCTGATGCACTTTTTGGCATCTAATTAGTTTGCTAAATTACTAACTATGACCCTTACCCCAAAGGAGATGGAGTGTGAAAAAAAAAAAATTCTTAGATTCCTTCAAAATACATCCTCGTGGCATGGCCACTAATCCAGCAGGAACAGAGTAGGTTTTGATGGAAGAGGATGGGGACAGAGCACTAGCAAAAGCAGTGTCCTCCCACGGGCTAAATCCTGAAGTAAATCCAAGCTCATTCATGGGCATTTCACAAAAATAAGGAGTGAAGGCATACATGCCTTGATACCATTGAAAATCTACAAATCACCTTATTAACATCATAATTTTTAGAGCCCACTCAAGTCAGTGGAATTGTTTCTATTTTTTTATTTTGTCTGTGATAGGCCCCTTGTCTGGATATATGTACCTATATCGTGATTCCAGAATCTGACCCTAACTAAGGCCTTCAGCGCTAGACCTCTCAGGGTTTTGTACTCCTTCTGTGCAATCAGAATTCAGGACTAATCTGCAGAAATACTCGACCCTACTTCCACAGACACCAGCTGCAGGATTGGGCCCTAAACTGAGGGAAGCTTGTATAAAAACAGAGAGAATCCAAAGTCCAGTGTAAGGCAGAGTTTTCTTTCCCCCACCAAAAAAGGTGTTGGTTGTATGGGGCTTTTTTTCCTTTTTTTTTTTTTTTTTTAAAATTTTCTCTTGATCCTCAGTTATTTATTCTGATAATCATGTTTGGTGCATATTTTATCCACTGGCTGGTTCAGCTGTCACTGGCAGTGATTACTGCCAAAGGCAGGGTCTGTCTAATTAATGTTTTCCTTCTCATCTGCTGAATTTATATAGCCATTAAAGATAAATATGGATGCTTTGTGGCATTTAGACCCCAGATTATACTTTCTCATACATAGCCACTAGGGAGACTTTTGCTGCATCTTATTTGCTGCATAAAGGCACCAAAATGCTCAAACAGGGTAAGTCAGACTGAGTCGTGCCAAGTTGTTATGGCCCAGACAGTCTCTCTTTAGACATATTTTGAAGATAAACTTCATTCCCAAATAAAGCTTTCAACTGGAAGGTTGTTTTTTCCCGTTTCCCTGAAGTAGAAAGAATTCAAAGGGATGCTGTCATCTAGTTTTTGCCCAGGATCTGATCTCCTTTTAAATGGTTATGAGCTGGTAAGGAATTTTCTCTGGATTTAACTCTTTTCAAATAATGGCCTTGTTTTTACTGTTTTTCTTAACGCACATACACAGTAACTGCAAGATTTTGGGTACGCCTCTTCCCCTACAGCCCCTAGAAATGCTAGGTAACATCCAAGAGTTCTGAAATGCTGCAAATTTAAAAGAAAAACAGACTTCAAATAGAGTGCAATTGAGCTGTATAAATCACTGCTGCATTACTGCAGCCAGGATCTTAGAAGGATTCAGAAGAGAATCAGATACTCAGGTGGAGAATAACAACATCAAATGCCATAGCACAGAAACAGCTGAGATACGTAAAACACCTATAACTTCGGGGCAGATGCCACGTTCTGAGTGCCTGGAGTCAAAAAAGGCTTCTTTTTTTTTTTTTTTTTCCCCCCCTTTAAGGAAGGAAACAAAACAAACCAGGCTATTCTGTATTCTGGAGCTGTGCAGCAGATGTTTGGTCTACCTTCTTCTACTGAGGAATATGGTTTGGGGTATTGTCAGGTAGAGCGTTAACAGCTCCAATTCATCATCTCTAAGACCTCGTGGTAGAGTAGATGGAGAAATTACTGCCCATTAGTCATGTGCGTGCTCTGAGCTGAAGGTCTGGATTCAACCAGCATCTCCCACTGCCTAGACTGGAAAAGCAAGGCACTTAGATGCTGTGTCTCAAGGAGGAGAAAAAAAAAAAAAGTACTCTGTCCTACCTTTTGACACGAGGTCTAGCTCTGGGCACTTGGAGTTCAGATCTGGGAAGCTCGCAAGTCAGCAGGGAGCAATCTTTTCTGAATATTCTTTGCACATGGCTTTGTAGTGGAGGAGAAGAGGTTGTCTATTAAATTCCAGAAAGCCCAACAGTAATGCTGCCGATGCCTAGAAGAAAGAGAAAATTGTCTTTACTATCAGCAAGTACTGCTTTAATGTTGAAGAGAATAGGAGAGTCTGGGCTTAAGTATAATGCTGGCTGCACCAAGTCAAACGCATCAGGATCAATACTCCCTTCTTATCTGTGTAACTCTGACTTCAAGATGCCGGTTAATCTTGCTAGTCTTGAGTGCCGAAGCAAGAACGTGATGATGGCGACTGTGACATAAAAAGAGTTTGATTTTTCTTTTAATCGTGTGGCTTCTCTAGCCACATCCGGAGGTCTTCCTCTGGATTCTGATGAACCCAGCGTTTGGGCTTGCTTCAAAGCAGACTGCGTAACGTACACGTGTATTGACCTGTATATTTTATAGCTATAAAATGGGCTGGGGCTGTTAGCTGTGCTCAGTCCGTTGCTCGGCTGGTTAAAAGAGGATGCAAAACACAAACAACCACTACTGCTCCTCATTTGTCTTTCCAAGCACCGTGCCCTGGCAGTTTGTGGCAACTGCTGAGCGTGTCGTTCGGGCATAAGGCAGCTGCCTTTCATCAGGCAGAAAATGACATCACGTATCTGCTCCTTGGCCACTCATCTGCGTTCAGCAGTTGGGAAAACACAGCACAGGGTTTATCAGAGACCAACGCGAGGTTGGTTCTGCTCCTCTGAAAGCTGGGGGCTAACCCCCCCACACTTTTTGACATCAACAGGAGCAGATCAAAAAATATTCTCTTAATAACTAAAGGCCTACTTTCCATATACTTGAATTTACAGCACAGTTGGACTATTTTGAGGGACTAAAGGCACTTTAACTGTCTTTTAATGCAATGTATTTACTATGGATTATCTGCATGGAATACAGTCTTAATATTAAAAAAAAATCTTCCTTTTGGACTGCTTTGTTTTCAAAATAAAACATGCAAAGGATTATTGGTCATGTTATTTCAACTTCTAAGCAGGCTGGGAATTATTTTCATCTTGTATTCTTTTAATTGATGCTATATGAATACAAGGTTGTTTTTTTCTTTAAGATATCCTTTTCTGTCTTAGTAATAACCCGTCATTATCAGGAGGTGTTCCCAGGACATATCTAGGCTAAAAACTAATGTAATTGAGGTTTGAATCAAGACTATAATTTTTTTCTAATTTTATTCTGCTCAGCTTATTTAGATTTCTTTTTTTTTTGCAGGCTTCTCAGCTTGAACAATGAAGTTTGCTTCGCCCATTTGACTTTCTGACAGTAGTCAGAAAGTGTTTCAATCTCTGCACTAGCACCAAATTAGTTCAAAAATGTAAATCCCTTTAAAGGGCATTATCTGAGACCTCTGGGTAGCACCTCCATGCTTAGGCTTCCTTCGCTATTGTACATTAAAAGCATGAACAAATCGGCATGATAACTGAAAGATGATTAACTGTAGGAAGAGACCCACCTTGCAATTAACTATGGATATCAACAGATTAATTCCCATGGGAGCTTTGCTAGCACTGCTTCCACGCATGTTACTCTTTGAGTAGCTGATAAGGGCATAGCCAGAACAAGGACTTACCCATAACCCTTTCCATGCACCTACCTTGCAAACTTCTGTACCATGTAGAAATACCCAAGGCAGCACAGGAATTGGAGCAATTCAGTCCTGCTTCACGTCGCCTACAAGAGGTAAGTATGAGCCTCGTTAGAGACGTACCGAGATAGAAGGATGTTCACAGAGGTAGGACAGAGCGGTGGTTAAGGTACTGGGTTGTGGTCCAGGAGATGCAAGTCTTCGATAATAAAAGCAGCTCCTGGTATCTCAGCTGCTCGTCTGTCGTATGTAAGCAATAACATCGTGTTTTGCTGTGGCTATTTAAACTGTAAACTCAGCAGCCTGGGGCCGTTCCATAGCATGTATACGTACTGTTATTGGCCTTGAGTATGCTCAAGGAGCTAAATGCGTAATTTTCCAAGCATAGCTTTGTCCCTGCTGCTCTTCTGAAGTGAATGTCACCATTTTTTGTACCTCCTTTCAATGGCTATGACCATGTTGCAATATCGGAAAAAGAAGTAATATATCAGTGTCTTCTCA